GAGAATCATAAAACAGGAAAGGAATACTGGAATACTTGTTCAATATCTTATGTGCGAGTACGCACGTACTCAGTTTAACAATATTATCAAATTTAAGAATATCAAGAAGCTTATAGAAAACGTGGAATGACTCTCTACTATAAGCAAAAAACATACAACGAATGCAATTATTGAAAGAGAACTCAACTTGTTTAGATTTGATGAATAAGTATTTCCCCACACTACAACCGCATAATTTCAATAAGGATATATCAGTGTATAATAAAGTTGTTTGAAAACATGTATACTCACGTAGTGTCTTAATTTATATAAGACCCCAATATTTTTAGCTACCTAGGCTTTGGTTTTAACATGGGTTTTTTGATCTTTCCAATTCAATTTTTGGTTTATATCAACACCAAGGTACTTAATGCAAGTCTTCTGCTGAAAATTAAAAACAGTTATAGGAGTAACTTTTTTACTTGGTGAGGTTATTGACATGAAGTTAGTTTTTTTCATGTTAATCGATAGTTTAATTAATAGTTTCACAGTTCATAACTGATTCAATATCATTTATGTCATCTGAAGTATGGAAGATGTTAGCATCGTCAGCAAAAAGGCGAAAGGACAATTTGTTAGGTGAATTGGCAATGTCATTGATATGAATTAAAAATAATCAGGAGCCTGAAGTAGATACTTGTGGTACACCACAAGTCATCTCTAATAAACTTGACTTTTCATTCCCAATTTGAAAAAATTGCTTGCGATCTTGGAGATAACTTGCAAACCAATCACGCGGCTTACCACGGATACCATATTTATAGAGTTTGTTTCACAATATTTGATTATTTATTGTATGAAATGCTTTTGAGAAGTCTAAGAAAAAGCCACAAGATATAACATTTCTGTCAATAGAGGCCTTCAGATTATCAGTGATCTCCATAATCGCTTGCTCAGTGGAATGGCTTTTTCTCAAGCCAGGTTGGTTCTTAAATATTACAGGGTCCTCATCAAAGTATTTCACTAGCTGATCATAAATGACTCGCTTCAAGATCTTACTGAAGGGGGACAGTGAAGCTATTGGCTGGTTTTTACTAGGATCAGACAAAGCTCTACTTTTAAAAGCAGGAGTTACTTTGAAACTTTAAATAATCAGGCACAATGCCAAAAGAAATTGAATTAGTAGAAATAAATGGAAATGACTTAGAGAGGATTTAGAGGCTAATCTAACTGATTTATTTGGAACATCTAGTGAAGATTTCTTATCATTCTTATCAACCCACTTTTCTGTCACAGGAGACAGAAAAAAAAAACTATGTAAAGGAGAATGATTGATAAGTCCACATGGATCTCCAGCAGTATTAGAAACAGTTTTTGCCAAATTAGGAACGACATCAATAAAATGCTGATTGAACTGCTCAGCAATATCTAATTGACTAGTGAGTTCTATGCTATTTCCTTTAATTCTAACAATTTGGGCCTTTATTTTTTCTCTTGACTAATGTGCCTATGAGCTTCCAGGCGTTCTTAAGATCATTTTGATGGAATTTGAAGTGCTGATAGTAGAAATAATTCTCAGCGTTATGTTTGAATAAGTTTACTGTATTAGCATAAAGCTTATATTCTTTTACGTTATCAGGATCTCTACAGAGGAAGTGTGATTTGTATAACTTCTGCCTATGCTTAACTGTAGTCAATACACCTTTAGTAAGCCACGGTTTGGCCAATTGTCTCCTTTTTCTTTATATGTGCATGCTTGTTTGCATTTTGCTTGAGTATACTTATACAATTAGCAGCTTCCTCGTGAATATCATTGGATTCATTATATACATTGATCAAATCAACCGTATCAACATCTCTAACATACTGGTCCACATCAAAGTTGTTATAATCACGAAATAGAATGCTCTCTTATACCTTGATATTTATCGATCAAGCACTGGTAATAGAATGATCTGAGACATCAACCAGCGCATGCCGGCATCCACACTCAAATCAGAATTTGTGTAAATGTGGTCAATCAGAGTAGAAGTATGATGAGCGAGCCTGGTTGGTTTTGTTATTAAAGGTAGTAGATTGTTAGAATAGAGCATATTTAGGTACTCTTCAGATAATAAATGCTTACTGTATTCCAGGAGATCTATATTAAGATCCCCAAGAATGTATATCTCATACTGACTTGCCTCTTTAAGCAAAGTTTCAAATTCAAAAGTAAAAGCAGGTAAATTACAAGAGGATGGCGGAAAAAGCAACCAACAATTATATTAGGTCTCCCATTCCCTGACGTTATTTCTCACTAGGATGATTCGTCAATGGTATGGTAAACTTTAAATCAGGTCCATGAATGGCATTAGGATTTTTCGAGACATAGCCCAGAACCGCTAGTCTGTTTTAGTGGGTTGGTGTGGAAGAAATCATAATTGAGGATATCAATATTTGTTACTGTCCGGTTTGATAGTCTCGTTTCAGTAATAGCTAAGATATCAGGCTTGCGGTTGACAGAATGTAAAAACTCGTTCAATAGAGACAAATGCTTTGGAAGACTTCTGATATTACAATGAAACATAGAAAGACACTTTGAAGTGGTATTATCTAAGAGTTGATTCAGCTGAGTTAGGAAATAATAATTGGAACGTGGACAATTAAGGATGTTATCAGAATAAATGTCATACCACCAGTTACCAATCACTGCTAATTTTTTTTTTAATTATTTTTTTTTTTTAAATAAAAACTATTGAGCAGCATACAGCAACAGATCTTGTCAACTTGGTTTTTTATCCAACCAGTTTCGTCTGATCACACAGACTTCATCAGGGATTAAGATGAACAAAATTGAACTACGAATATACTGGACATTTACAGTACAACTCACGTTCAAATTGAGGTGAAAACTGCAAAAAACACCCACAAAAAGGAAATGTTACGCAAATCTAGCGCAACAATTTGGAAATGTTACGCAAATCCAGCGTAACAAATTAAGCAATGTTTAATTTTTATTTTTGGGGTTTACGTTAAATCGTGAGCCCCAAACGCCAAATTTGACACTCTTTATGGTTATCAGTTTACATTATCAACTAAGCTGATAAACCAAAATGATCTAGTTATACTCCTCACAGACGCAGCACCACAATTTTTTCTAGAAATTTACCCTTTATTTACTTGTTGTTTGACAAATGAATGCCACTAAAGGTTGAAACCGCAGGAAAGTAGTGATAAAGCGTGCTGATAAACGTTTAGGACAAGATGAAAAAATTCAAATCATTTATTTCAGAATTTGGTCAATTGTGATGTGGATTGTGTAGCTTGCGGTTTGCAGCAGATAAATAAATAAATAAAATGAAATAAAAAAGAGAACAAGGATGTCAATTGAACCAAAAAAATTTATTTAACGCTTTTAAAGCTACAATTTCAGCTATGACTTTAAAGCAACTTTGTTAATCTTGCGTGAGTCTTGGTCCAGTCTAATCATTTTCGTCTAACCTGAAATAGAGAAAAGAAAATGAGAAAGTGTCCCTTCTAAAGTTACTTTAGTGAGTAGTGAGGCCAGTTGGGACAAGCGTAGTTATCTATGGCATGTTACAAGTATTAGAGAGACAACTCAACAAGAACCAGTACATGCATTTCTTGTTGAAAAAATGCCTTCAATTTTCAGCGCGATTACAAGCTTGTAGCAATCTTTAATCGATATTTGTGAAAGACTCACCATTCTAACGACTGTAGGACTAGTAGGGGTGGCGGTAGCCGTAGCGGTAGCCGTAACCTTTTCCTTTTTTTGGGTAGTAACCCTTTCGGCCACGATATTTACGGTAGGCTTTGCGGTAGCTTTTCCTAGGTTTTTTTCGGTAGGGTCCTTTACGGTACTTGCCGTAGCCTTTTCCTTTCCCATACAAATAACCTAAAATAATTACGAAAAAAAATACATTAGACCATTAATATCAAACGATGGATTATCGAACATAAAAATCTCAGAATCAGACAAAAGGCCCATTCATTCAGATTTCTTCCAAATTTAACAAAATAATTGTGTAATGTAATAATGATGTTGCTTTAATTATATCTTGGCAAGGTGGAAACAATAGCCTCTATTTGACGTAAAAATATACAGGAATATTTATCCTCGGACATTATCTGTTCCATTATCTGGACAAATACACGAGTACAATTTAGTTTAAAATAGAAGCTTTGTAATTATTGTCCTTCAAACATTTTGCAGCGCGTGCCGGATGTTTTCTTTTGAGCGTTCTTCAGTACGATTTTATGAACAAACGGATAATTCCCATTTTCTGCTATATCTTCTTGAATTAAAACCTATCAGTTGGGTGATAGCCTTGACTATGCCCCAGTTTTAGCTGAGGGATATTCGGCCACTTGACTGAATACCAATCGTGCGCGAGCAAGAACGTTTCATGGATCAAAAATCAAGATATAAGATCAAGATGTAAGATCAAGAAATGTTGAATAACTTTACCATATTTCTTTTTTGACTTTCTTGGCACCGGTCTTGGATCCTCAGAAACTTCTTCTTCATCTGATGGAACAAAAATCATAACATCTGGTTAGAAAGTGCTTTTCTCACAGTTTACTTCATTGATAATTGTGTCATCATGTCCCACGTAATTGATCTTTGTTTCCAAGGAAGTAAATCGCCCCGTAATCCCTATGATAAGACAAATTCAGACATTTTATGGATCCTTTCGGTATAATCAGTGTAGCGAGCAGTATCCTTTCCCTGATTCTTATTTTGCGATTGAAATATAAATCTCGCAAGAGTCAGCTTTTGTTCCTTCCCATACTACCTTTCATACCAACTTTCAACTGTTGTCAACCAAAACCTGCTTAAAAAACCTGGTTGATGCAGAAAATGACAATTAAAGTTACCCCTGTTTATCCTACACGATTCTTTCACGAGTTTCTTCCCGATGAGTAGAAAAATTCCAAACTCTCGCCATTGACATTGTAACTTGGATCTCATCTCCGAAGCGAAGACAGAACTCGGTTTTCTTGTTAACGAAATTTAATGATCAACGCTTGCCTGTCTCTTCTTCTTCATCGTTCATTTCTTCTAATTCCTTAGTATCCCTCTCGTTTTCTTCATCTCTTAATTCTTCAAAGGCTTCATCTTCATTTTCCGGCTCCTCGTCATTCTCTCTGTCAAATTTATCAGAGGCAGTCCCGAAGTCTTCGTCATTCAGATCTTCAACTTCTTGGGCTATTTTATGGGGAAAAAGAAAGTAAAAAAAAAAATCGATTAAATGTGAAAATCAAAGTACGCTGGTTTTAATTTGAATACAACCAGACCGGTAATTAGGTGGAGAGAGTCTTGGCACATCCTAGGAGACTTAGAGTTGCTTTCTTATCCACGTTCGTGAGAAATGTATTGAAGATAATTCTTATGAGTATTCTTATCTTTTTTGGTAAAACTTTTTTCTAATCAGGCTTCAAAAAGTAACTAAGTAGCTTCTTAAAGTGACCTGTATCCTCACTCAGAGGAGCATCTAGGGAAGGAAAAAAGAGTACTTAGTGAAAGTAACACCATTGGACTGATGGAAAAAGGAATGAATGATCTAATAAAAATAATCATGCTCTCATAATTTTGATCCAATACCTTCCCGCTTTTCCGCCAGGTAAGAGGCTGTGCAGGCTCCAAGAAGGAAACAGCTGATCAACAAAAGTTTCATCTGCATGGCTGAATCCGTTTTAACTCCGGGCAGAGAATGGCTCTGGTGACACCCTCATCGGCCCATTTATGGGATTCATAGAGAGGCTAATACTGTAGAACCAAAACTCAATATATTACATTGCATGCTTTGCATGAAATTAATTAGGGAAGGATTAAAAACAGGAAAATAAAACTAGTATTATATGGTGCAATAGGTGACAAGACAAAGGCATGGAGGTGTCGAAGCACTCTTCAAGCACTCTTAATAGTCTAAGGCTAAAAATAGAGAGGTTGACCTTAAAGTTAGTGCGCACGAGAGACAATAAACTGCATCAAGAACAATTTTACGGAACAACACTATCAGACGGAAGCCTTTAAGTTTGGAATAATGTTGATGTGATACAAGATGTCTCTCTTTTCGTTTGAATTATTTTGAAATCTCAGCCGATAATCGAACTTCTAAATTAAGAACAGTTATATTTAGACTTACTAATACGTCAATTTCATGTTACATGGTTGGACAATTTACTCGTCTGATATTTCTAATTTTTTTGATAAGGTCTCACTGATTAGCAACTCGATGAAATGACCTTCAGCTAAATATTGCAATTATCCTACCAAACCGAAATTTCACCTCTTTCCTATGGGTTAAGCATCTAGGTAGGGCGAATGGCAAAGAGTCAACAGGAGTAACTAGAACAAGTCTACGGAACAGCATTATTTTACATTATTTTACGGAAGCCTCAACGAGTAGAATAAATAGAAATAGAGTTTTGATACGAGAGGAAGGTTTTTCTGGGTACAGTATTAAAATTCTTAAACGTTGTATTTAGAATTCTCTATGACAAATTGGTGTTACATTGTTCGGCAATTTTCTCGTCTAAAATATTTGATTTTATGTCCTGGGTAGCTTCAATTGCAAAGCTTCACCAAAAACTGAAGTACTTCGATGAAAATGTCTTGCTGCTTAGATACTGCACTTATAGCATCAAAATAGGAACTCTTCCCTTATCAAAAAAAGGGCAAGACTGTTGTCGATCAGTTTTAATTAAAGAATTGTTGAGAGAGCAACGTCTAAAAGAACTAATGATTGATTGTTAATGCTTGACAACAACGTAAGGAGCAAACAAATTAGAGAAAAACAAGTGCGTAAAATTAGATCTATCACTAGATTAGTACTTAGGTCTATATTGAATACATGTAACGATATTCTTGTTGATCACTGCTGTGTTGGGATATCAACAATGAAAATGATCAGAACAGCATGTAAATCTTTCTTTTTACATAAACAAAAGGAAGTTTTTACTTCTCTGAGTGAAGAAATTTTAATGAATCAAGGTTAAATTCAGTACAAAAGACTAAAGTTGGGTATGGAAAATAAAATCTATTTTGCAAGTATTAATTCCTGTATTTTTGTTTTTCTTGAGAAAAAGAAAGACCGAACTCTTTACAGTATCACCATTTTTTGCCCTTCTTAAACTCCTCCAAATATATCCAGAAACAGCCGTGCCCATCTCAATTGTAATCAAAATATTGGCAAGTTCCGACAATCTTTCAACTTGACGATGACTTTGTGAAACTTTTACACCTTTAAAGCGTTGAAAGTATTTAGAAAATTTCTTCGCGCGCTACCTTCAATTTTGTCTTTGAAGCTTTGGGACTTTTTTAAAGTCTTCTTCGGTGTGTTTATGGTAAATACTAGAAACATATCTCTACTGATATCTGTTTTACTCAAGCAATGACGGTGTTTTTGTTTGTGGGGGTCTGATACCTTGAGGAATCTTTTTTCAGAGCTAGAATGCACAATTGTTTTTTCCCTTGTTACATCGGCGAAGTTCGAAAATTTGCTTTTTATTAGATCAGATTGTAATAGAAGTCCAGACGGAAGCGCTGCAAGGATTCTCTCTATGTGAGTAAGTCAGAATTATCAGAATAGATGCCTAAAACAAATTAATGGGCTCTAGGTGCTGAATAAATCATTGGGGAAAACTGTCCCTGAAAATCATGTTTTGGTTGAAGAGGAAGTAGTCGCTCACAAAATCACAGAAATAATTTTTTTTTTCATTTATGTATTCTGCAAGATTAGAGAATACCCTACTAAATATAACAAAACGAAATTCAATCACATCAGGCTTTCCAGAAAGGATAACCTCAATGCTGTTAGCAATTGCCAAATGATTTAAGAGCTTTCCAGTGACGTTACCCTAAGAATTGAGATGGACTCCAAGTGTTAAATAGATCATCGGGGCTACCTGTCTTTGAAAGTCAGTTTTTTTTAAGAAGAAACATTAGCTGCTCACAAAAGAACAGAAATAATCAGTTCGCAAGACTAAAACATGGCCTGCAGAAGGTAACAAAACCAAATTCTAACACGTCAGGGAACAACCAATTTTATCACGATTGGGACGTGTCATACTTAACTGAAGACATAGCATACTACAGTGTATATTGTTCATCTCACCTGAATGTATGTGTCTTTTGCAGAATTGGTATATTGTTTTAAAGATTTAGACTCACAGCAATATTAGCCTGTGAGCGACAAAGACGTGCAAGATACATGAACCTTAAAAAAAGCCTTAACCAATGTTTAGAAGTAGGGACCGTTCTTAACCATCACGAAAAAGAGAGGGCAGGTCGAACTTGTTACGAAAAAAGGAGCAATGAGAATGAAGGAATTCGAATATTTTAAATTTCAGATTTCATAAGGTGCGCGCGCGCCAACATTGAGCAAAAACCTCATAGAGCTTCCTCAAGTGGACAATTGGGAAGATTCCTAAAACTGTCTACAATCATATATTGAAATTAAGTTAGACCACCATATCATTTGTTACCAGAATACGTGTCTATATGGATTTCCATATTGTGAACGGACTTAGTTCATATCGCTCTCTTGTTGATAAGCGTTTTATTGCTGCACTGTCCATAAACTTTACCCAATTGGGCAATAATCCAATAAATCTGTCTACAAAATCCATAGCAAAGTACATGTGAAAAGCCAAATAGATTCTCACGTTCTGAAAAGGTATCAAGGAAACCATAGAATGATCCTTTTTAAATATATTTGTACAGCATTGAGTTTAACGTCAACATCCATCGGTCGTTCAGTGACAAACGTTCCGATATTACTTAAACTGAAAATTGAATATCGGACGTTCTTGACGATAATCCTGTCATTTCTAGTCACTTTGTTGATTAAAGTGATTGAGGAACAAAAAGATAAATTGATAAATAAAGATAGTGGTAAATATCACCCATAAAACGTACCATTATCTTTCCTCATTGATGGACCTGCTGCTCAGCAGCCTGTGTTTGCTTAGTTTTTTCTCATAGCACGGTTCACTGGTTTTTCCCAAGGCAAGAACCAAATTTATCTTCCTTCTCTCCTAAATATTATGGAGTTAAAATCAAGCTAGCCTATTTACATGAAGGGAATTTCTGGATAAGAAGGGTTAAAAGCACATATCTATTTGCAAAATTTTGCTTGCAATTCTTCGAATAAAAGTTAAACACTAAGTCGGAAAATTTAAACGTTACAGAAAAGATGTCTAACCATTTGAATGTTTAATTTATCAACAAGGGCACTATTTTCTTTAATTTCATCTTATTTGATTGTATCTCATTTCTTAGTGTGTTTGGTTGTGTTCTTCTAGGGTAAGGGGGGATTAGGGTCAATCATTAAGATGGTTCACTCTATCTAGTCTTTTGTCTTTCTCATTTGGATGTGATATCGAGCTGATATTGAAGCGTTAGACGATTCTTCTGATTGTGATGAAATTCTGAATGAAAAAAGAAAATAAATGCTACAAGATATTAGTCAAATAACCAACTAATGGCTTGAATAGTTGATTAAACATTTGATAAAAGAAATCGTTGTGAACTTAATTATCTCTATATTCGATTTATCGCCATGACTCGCGGAATGAACTGAATATATAAATAGTTTAGAATAATTAAGACTATTTAAATTATTAAAGTATCTGAGGCGTAAAAGCATCTCTTTTAGCAGGTGTTCAAATATACACACAAAATTTAAACGCATGACGTTACGACACTTTAATTTTTTGTGCTACTCAACACCCATGTCAAATCCATGAGATGATATAAAGCAAAGTCAAATAAGGACTTAAACTTCATTTGTATTTTTTCTTAACTTTGAGGCACATGAAAATGTTTCTGAAACTTTGTCTCGTTGTCGCTTTGCTTTCGGTTACTTACGCGAGGTCCTTCCTTATGTTTTCTTTCATTTATGTACCGCAATGAATGGCAGATCTTGAGCTAAGGGGGGCGGGGGGGATGGTCTTTTTGTCGCTTGCCCTACCGGCTTTTCTTCCCTCTGCGAATGTCATATTCTTCTTCCTATCAGTGTTATTTTGTATGGTTGGTGTTGCTTGAGAAATGAACGGAACGCTAGAAAATATGGGTAAAATTCTCAAATAATGAAATAAAAAGGGCCATGGCTATTTTTTTTTCCGGAAAGCTTTTCATAAAACATTTGGTTAAAATTATCAAATAATGAAATAAAAAAGGGTCAAGATTTATTCATCAAACAATCGTGTCATCGCATCCCATCTTATTGTTCTCTGTTGACGGAGAGCTAAATTGCTCGAGTATCCCCAGTTTGTTCCAGCCTTAGGACTCAAAAAGTTATATGGCTATTACCAGTATCATCAGTGTACTGAGTGTAATTTTGGGAGCTGTATTCTTAACCCTGATAACTATTTCACGAGTTCCGTCCCACGGAGAAGAAATATGCATGGTAACTTGGATCTTTTTTTTAACCAAGGAGCGGAAACAGAACTCAGTTTTCTTGTCAACTAAATTTAGTGATAAACTTTCACTTGTCTCGTCTTCTTCATCGATTATTTCCTTTCATTCTTGAGCATCACTCCCGTCTTCTTCATGACTCATTTCGTCAAATTCTCCATCTTCATTTTCCCGTTTTTCATCATTATCTTCATCAATTCGTCAGAAGCAGTCTCAAACTCTCCATCACTTACATCTTCAACGCCTTGGTCTGTGTTACAAGAAAAATGATTAAAAAAATGC